GGGGTGTTGCAAATAAAATGGTTTCCTCCTCTGCGGCCCAAGCTGCTTTAAAGTTCCTGTTTTAAGAGCAGGGTGTCTTGGAAGCAGCACCGCGATGCCGGTGCCGAAGGGACCTGCGTCCTGCCCGGCAGCGCGGGAGYGCCCGCACAGAGCGCAGCTCAGGAGCCCCCGCAGTCTGGGCTCGTGCTTTTCCCTTTCAGTTGTGAGCACGTCTTTCCTCTGTGATCCTCATGCTGCAGAGAAACAATTTTACTTTGTTTGCTTAATGATATTTCACTGGTGTCATGCAGCAGGCAAACGATAAAATGAGAATTATGTGGGCTGAGTTACTGCTCGTAAACTTTGTAATTGAATATGAAGTACTATGCATCTGCTAAAATAAATATGTGTATATCTGTTAAAAGCCTATTCCATCCACAGCAGTGCTGTTTATTATACTATACTTTTGAAGAATATATGTATTGAATAGGATGACATTGTGTACATACACAATATGATAGTCATAGCTCTTTAAAGTTACTGTTAGGTACTGTAGTACCTTAAAGTTACTGTTATTGGAAATGCTGGTGTATAATCTATATTTTAGCTAGTTTTAAAAATTAGCCACTGCTAATCAATTTTAATTGCAAAAATAACATTCTTTGTAAGGATTAAAGTAAAGCTGCTGTAAACCGTTGACAAAATCATGAGAATTTGTGAAGCATTTCTATTGCCACATGACTTCATGCTGTTTTAGGAGACAATTTTTAATTGTCTCACAAATATTTCTTCCAATAGACTCTTAGGGATGCCAGTAGTCGTGACCATGAGCAGAATGAGGAACGCTCTCAGTTTTAGCAAAGCCAAAGATAAGCACTTGGAGGAAATGGGACCTCAAATGCTATTAATGGTAGAGGGACCGTYAATGATCGTAAGACCTTTGATTGTTTGAAGCAGCAAGTGTGAAGTTTGAGATAAATTACTAGTACTAGAGCAACAGGCATGTAAAGCAACAGGGCATCTTGAATAAACAGCAGCTTTTGACTTTGAAAAAGGCAACTTGCACTAGTTTCTGATCTCTTACTCTATTTTGAAGTGCTGCTGTAGCAAGGGGGAAAAGGGCAAATAATAAGGGATTCAAACAGAAAATTTAAGTTCTCTGTAGACATCAAAGTTGTCCATAGAACAAGCTRTTTAAAGAAGCTTGCTGTGGTAATTCTTGTGGATAATTCCATAGTTTTTAGAAGATGCTTAAGATTAGGCTTTTATTAGTACAACGTAGACATTAATAAAGGTATGTGTCCTTACATTTTACATTTTAGCCTTACATGTTGCGTGATGCTTTTTATTCAGAGATGATGTGCTGCTTTATTTAGATGCATTTATACAAGTTAGCTACTATGTTCTGTAGTTTCTTTTAATTAAAAATTTGACTTTCATGTCTAGACCTATGGATAAGAATAAATGAATAGTGTGGACAAAACCAGTATCTTCTCTCTCATAAAAATGTCAGAATGGGTAAGTCTAAGTAGAGGCTGACARCATTTCCTTTGATGTCTAAATTATTCTTCTCTGCAAAGAACAATAACATAATTCCATATGTAAGACTACCGTGCTCTCTGGATGGCTTTTAGCTCGTCATAATTTTTCTTTTTATATCTGCACAAAGCACTTCCTTGATGTCCGCTCTGATAAGGCAGCAGAGGGCTATGCAAATAAACACTTTACACGGGGTATTTTGTCTATGCGTGAAGGAACTTCCCCCCTTAAGATTTTCCTTTACAAGTACTGTAAAAACCTGAGAGAGATGCTTGCCCTTTATATATTTCAAAGCCTTTTTGTGTGTGTATGTGTGGAGAGGAGGGGGTAATCATGTGTTTGCTAGCTTTAGGTGCTGATGAAGTTAGCTTTGATGATTGTGTAGCGTTTTGTATTTTAAAATTCATCACTGTGAAACCCATTATTTAATGTGTGGTGATTGGGAAGCCCCTGTCAGGGCCTGCTGTTGATCCTGGCCCTGCCGAGCTTTACTTGGACATCGCTCTTCAAAACCCGTGCCAGGGACTGCAGCAGCTCTCGCTGTAAAGCGCGTGACGGAGCAGTGGCTCCCAGTGCAGCTGGGCACTGCAGTGGCTCCCAGTGCCCCGGCACTGCAGCTGGGCAAGCTCAGTGTCTTAGCACCGAGCAGAAGCTGCTGAAACCAGGACAGGAAGCTCTGTCCTGCGCATAGGCCTGGGCTTCTAGAAATTTAAGTGTAAAGTCTGGRATGCAGTGCACACAGCTTTACAAAAGGCAGACTCTTCAATTTCTATAAATGCTAGTGGCTTTTGAAGAGTTCAGAAGACGTCTTTGACTTCACTGCCTCCGAAGAGTGTGTGCTTATTTATCCACTTCCTAGTGTTTAAAGTATTTTTGCAACTGTTAGGCTTTCATTCGTGTTATGGAGTGGGCTTGGAGAGCAGGAGCTGGACACCTTTCGGAGGTCCCAGTGCAGGAGGGCACTTACTCTTGGCACTGCTGCCTGTTCGGCCATGGGGCCCTACGAGCCCCATGCAACAAGGCCCCTGAAAGCAGCATCAGCTTCTTCACTTTGTAAATCCGCTGCTCTTGGGCTATTTGCAAATTACTGTTGGCTAATGTAGAAATATCATCAGCTAAGAGCCAGGTCTACAAGGACTAAGAGGACTGAGGACTAAGAGCCAGGTCTACAAGGGACTTTGCTGGGAGCAAAAGGCACTTCATGCTGAGGCATGAGATCTTTTTTTTTATGGTTCCATACATGTGATGCATTTTACAGGCTTTATTTATGTAATACCACATACAAGTGTCCTGCTGTGGGATTATGTGCTCCGTGCACGTGGATATTGCTGATGTGCTGACACTGTTGTCACAAGCACTAACCTTGAGGCTGCCGGCAGAAYGGCGCTGACACAGGGCAAGCTGCAGTCTGCCAGAATATCCTCAGGATTCCTTACAGCGGCAATAGCGGCGATAGGCTGAGGGATTTTTGTCTCACAGTTTGGATCAAATTCCATTATGTCCTTAGCTTTAGCTTTTGCTCTGTAGAAGCAGGATTATTCAAGAGCAAAAGTGTTAGCCCTTAGATGATTCTGCAGATACAGCAGGTAGGCAGATGCCCCCAGCTGCCTCGTGCAAATGAAGGAGTAGAAATTTCTGTTCCTAGCAGAAGGACCTGGTTGAAGATCCCCTCTGTGTCTTCACCTTCTAGGTGAAAATTTTTAAATATTGATGCACAAGGATAGGAAACTGTGTTCTTTTTCTGTATTGAAAATGCAGATGTGCAATGTAATGCCTTTTGTTGTTTCTGTGTGATTTCTTTCTTTTTTAATTCATTAGGGGGGAGAACAAGGATGCCAGTGGATTCTCATGATGATGAACCTATTTCCTGGACACCGAAGATTTATTGGCGATGGGTGGCAGATAATTTGCAGAAATGGGAGGAGGTAGCAGAGTTTAGGAGAAGTTCAGCTCCTGTTCAGCTCAGGACAAAGCCCCTCTCACTAAGTGGTGCTTCCTCAATAGCAGGATCAGATGTTAAGTGAAGGTGGCGGGTGAAAATGAAACTTGTCACATGGCAGTGCTGCATCTAGGCCTGTTTTATCGTTACAGTAACGTTCACTAGTTCTATAATTGTTAGTGATATTGTTGTAAAAATACAAGTCTTAATTTGGGCCCAGACTTCTCCTTTCTGCAGGGATACGATGTGTAAGGCAGCTTTCCAGTGAAACATCCTTGCCTGTAAAGCACAGCCACGCTGTTTACTGTGTTTACTCTGATGATCTTTTTATTTTCATGAAGACGATGGTGAATGAGCGAGGCAGAGCAGGATGTAGCCATGTGCTTTGGTTTGTCTGGCTGTTTTCCTTGTGCCTGTGTATGTACCCAGTGTTTATTCTCGGTTCTAAATTGTTCTTCAAAGACTTGGCTTTAAAGATTAACTAGGACGGGGGGAGTGAGAGTGTGTGTCTGCAGGAGAAAATACCAGCATGAGAGCACTGACCTGAAAGGAGAGAGGAAGGAGGAAGGGGTCTGAAAAGCACTCAGAGCAGATTCRCTGCAGAGTGTATGTAATTATTATCCTCCAAGGGAGGAATATAGAAATAACATAGTGTGTATGCTTGCCCGAGGACTAGGTAGTTACATGATGGGATTAGCAGTCGGGTTGCGGTCATGTAGATGCTGGCAGCAGTATCTCAGCTGGTTAGGCGTGCGTGCCTGCGTGGAGAGCAGGATTATCTTTGTCGAGTGTATCGCAGGAGAAACACTCATGTGGTGATTTGCCCTCGCTGATACCTCTGCTGACTGTTTCAGAGTGCTCTGCCAGGCCTGTCTGAGGAAGGGAGATCCTGGGCTGAAGGCCGTGGGAGCAGCATCTCCCATGGAGCTGGGGCTGCACCGCTCATCGGGCCCGCGTGAGGCAGGGTCTGTGTCAAACCGAGCTCCCTGCTAGACYGGCACGTGCAAAACAAACTGTATCCCTGCAGGCTCAGGCATTTCCATCTACAATTCCCACTTTTTGGCCTGGAAATTTTGAGTGGAGGTTCCCTRAAAAGGCATTACACTAGAGCCTCTGGAACATTTTCCATGTATTATCTTGGAAATCAGCCTAAGACATACTGAAATGTGTTATCAAAATGGTTAGTTGTCAGCTGACTTGGTTATATTTGGTTTGAAACTCACAGAAATATGAGCAAGGTGTAAGGGTTGCTTTTTTTCTGAGGAGAAAAGGTGATAAATCTAGAAGCATTGGGCTGGTATGTAATCATTTTGTAGCATTTAATTCATCTGGATTGAGACAAGAAGCCACCGCTTTTCCTTTACAGTGAGGCAAATAGCCTTTTGTAGCTGGTGCTCCAAACATTCAGGTTGTTATCCTTGTCAACTGTTGTGGATGAAAAGGAAGTAAGTTTTTGTTGCATAAGCCAAATGATTGCATGGGAAACTGCTTGGCTCATGGTATAATGTTTTTGTTTAATACCTTTTTTATTCCAACAGGAAATATGGGATGTATAAAATCAAAAAGGAAAGAGAATCTGCATGGAGATGGGCTAGATTTGAAGAATCAACCAGTACGTAAAACTGAACGAACTATTTATGTGAGGGATCCAACGTCCAATAAACAGCAAAGGCCAGTAAGTAGATAGTCTCAGGGGAGAATTCCAGTAGCAAGATCAAAGYATGACTGGCATAACTTAAATTTCAATCAGAAACACATGCATGAAAAAACTCAAACTGATCATTTGGCTTTTAGTGCTGTGCAGTTCACCCTCAAAGAATAAATATTTTTCTTAAGCATCTGTCACTTTATTGCTTAATCATTCTGCTGTATTTGTCATAGTTTTCCACCTGAAAACAATAATCCTTGGCATTTTTGTTCTAGATATAGCTTCATATGTTAGGTAGAATGTTAGGTAACTTCAAAAAATTCTGAAGCAGTTTAGAAATATTTTTAATAACATTGATATTTAAAAGGTCTGCATCCTAAGCTGGTAGGAGCTGAAGAGCCTCAGGTTTCTTCACAGAAGAATCACTTCTTTATTTCCACAGTGTGGTTTATAGAATATACTGCTGCTTTTACAGGGAAGTTACTTAATAACTCAACTCATTCTGTTTATTACAGTCCAAGGCCTGTCCATATTAAACTCTTTACCCATTCTAGTCAAGTTTCCTTTTATTCTTTTTCTTTTATTCATTGAAGGCAAAAATTTGATCTTTAATCAAGACTTAACAGGAGCAGAATGGGTACAGGTAAAAAGCAACGTGGTATAAGAGGAATAAGTCAGTGGAAGCACCCTGTCTAGCAGTGGAAAGAAAGGATGCAGGGCAGGGAATCCCCTGTCCTGTCCACTCTCCTGAGGAAGCAGCGTTTCCAGACTGTCCTTAATCGGGAGCCGTATTCTCCACTGGTGTGAGGGACACTCTTCTCTTGTCTATCACCAACTGGGGCTGTGGACTCAGTGTGCAATCAATATACAGAAATCACAAGAGACATTTAATTTTTTTTAATTGCTTTTTGTCCTGTTAGTTAGGAAAATAGCTGTCTTTGTAGTTCTTTACCTCCTCATACTAGCATCAGGATGATAACTGTCCTGTTGAATTATGTTCTGTAAAAGCTTGTTTAGCAAAAGCCATGGGGCTGTGAACTTCCCCACACCTTTTCCATACCTTCCTGAGGTCTGAGCTGCTCAGTTTGAAGCTTAGTTGGGACTTACTGTCTGTTTGTGTTATAATTCATTTTAAGCAATGATCAGAAAAGACTAACTGATAATTTCAAAGTGATTGAAGAATAACATATTGTAATGTACATATGCTTAAAAATAAAATGTCAAAGATCTAAAACTGCTTAATTAAAGATGTATTTTGTTGTAGGAAATTACAGAAACACAGCTTTTACCAGGACAGAGATTCATCCCTGAAGGTATGCTCTCATAAGAACTTTGCTGATGTGCAGTAGACCTACATCGACTAGTGAAATAAGAGAAAATTAAATTCCTTTTGATTTCTGTCTTTGTAGAAAGAGAGGAGCATGGAGTCATTGTAGTAGCTTTGTATCCTTATGATAGCGTTCACGAAGATGACTTGTCCTTCAAAAAAGGAGAAAAATTGAAAGTCATTGAGGAGTAAGTATGACAGTGATGATTGTACTGTAGTCTTTCTTTAGCCATGTCTAAGTTTCTTTATAATTTCTTAGTTTTTGTATTCAGAACATGAGTATATGAACATTATGAAATAWCTGGGTGGATGATGGGAGAGCMRTGGATGTTKTCTACCTTGACTTCAGCAAGGCTTTCAACAGTCTCCCATAACATCCTCATGAGGAAGCACCACAAGTGTGGGTTGGACGAGTGCACCGTGAGGTGGATCGAGAACTGGCTGGATGGTAGAGCTCAAAGGGTGGTGATAAATGGGGCCGAGTCCARTTGGAGGCCTGTGGCCAGTGGTGTCCCCCAGGGGTCAGTACTGGACCTGATGCTGTTCAATTTGTTCATCAATGACTTGGAGGAGGGCACGGAGTGCACCCTGAACAAGTTTTCAGATGATACCAAGCTGGGTGGAGTGGCCGACACTCCAGAGGGCTGTGCTGCCATCCAGAGGGACCTGGACAGGCTGGAGAGTTGGRCAGAGAGGAACCTCATGAGGTTCAACAAGGACAAGTGCAGGGTCCTGCACCTGGGGAGGAATAACCCCAGGCATCAGTACAGATTAGGGGTCAACCTGCTGGAAAGCAGCTCCACGGAGAGGGACCTGGGAGTCCTAGCTGACACCAAGTTAAGCATGAGGTAGCAGTGCCCTCGTGGCCAAGCAGGCCAATGGGATCCTGGCTGCATCAGGAGGAGTGTTGCCAGCAGGTCAAGGGAGGGGATCCTGCCCCTCTMCTCAGCTCTGGTGAGGCCKCACCTGGAGTACTGKGKGCAGYTCTGGGCTCCCCAGTGTAAGAGGGACATGGAGCTTCTAGAAAGGGTCCAGCGGAGAGTGACGAAGATGATTAAGGACCTGGAGCATCTGTCTTAGATAGACTTAGAGTAGAAACTAAGTGAGCCGGCCTGTTTAGCCTGGAGAAGAGAAGACTGAGAGGAGATCTAATCAATACGTATAAACACCTGAGGGAAGAATGTAGGGAGGAAGGGGCCAAACTCTTCTTGGKTATGGCCAGTCATAAGACAAGGGGTAATGGGTTTAAGCTGAAACACAGGCAGTTTCATCTGCATGTGAGGAAGAACTTCTTTAGTGGGAGAGTGACAGAGCTCTGGAACRGGCTGCCCGGGGAGGTTGTGCARTCTGCTTCTCTGGAGATCTTCCAAACCCGCCTGGATGCCGCCCTGTGCCCCGTGCTCTGGGTGTCCCTGCTGGAGCAGGGGGTTGGACTACAGGATCTCTAGAGGTCMCTTCCAACCTCAACCATTCTGCGATTCTATAATCTCCATAGTACGTGAAACTACAAATGTATGCCTAGTTATCAACCAAACTTTGATCAAAAATAGCCAACATTTCTACAGGGGCTTCAGTTCAGAGAAAGATGCTTTTTTTCCTCCTCAGCCCAAACAAAACTGTTGGCACAGCAGCAACTGAATAAGACATCGTTGTTTTCCTTCCCTCACTTGGAATATTACTGTTGTTTCTGTTTTTCAGACAAGGAGAATGGTGGAGAGCAAAATCTCTCACAACAAGGAAAGAAGGCTACATTCCCAGCAACTATGTAGCAAAAATAGACACCTTGGAAACCGAAGAGTAGGTTCTCCTACCCTCTCAACATTGGGAATTGTCTTTTTTATATTGTTGTCTCCTTTGGAGATGAGGAGAAAAATTCTCAACTTTGAAATACTTTTCAGGTGGTTCTTCAAAGGCATAACCCGAAAAGATGCTGAAAGACAACTCCTGGCTCCTGGGAATGGTCCTGGAGCATTCCTCATCAGAGAAAGCGAAACATTGAAAGGTAGGCAGTTGGGACTCTCTTTACCTTGGACCTTGGGATTGTCTTTACTAAACTGAATCAAGTGACTGGATATTGAATTGTCCCAGTGTGTCCTGTTGTTTGAATTCACTGCAATTACACTTTTGTGTAAGAAGGGTGAGAAAATCATCAGGGAGAGAGAAGAGAGTTACAGAGAGCCCATTACACTGACAAGCAGCAAGGATTGAAGAGGTTTCTGAACACTTGTGATTCCTATACTACAGGGCCTTTTTAGTTGTAAATGGTAGAAGTTGCTTTTTAAGAAGTCTTCTATTATGTAACTTGTATCTCTTGTTACATGTTTTAAAGTATGTTTACTACATGATGAGAATTTACGCTTCTGCATTGTAGTTTGGGGTTTTTTTTTTAATTTTCTGGTAAGGATTTCTCCTGCAGAGGCAGCTTTTTTTGTACTGAAATGTTTACTGAAAGGATCAGACTCTTCAGCTGAGGCTTTCAGTGGAATATACAAGGGTTCTCCTTCGGTATCTTGATTCCACTATGCATGGCTATCCTCTCCATAGAGCAAACTTCAACACAGCCTGCTTGGGAGTAGGGCAAGACACTGCCAACATACTGCTTTCTATCCCCTTCTGCCACTGGATCTGTGAGTGGGGAGAAAGAAGGGACTGAGGTGGCCTCATATCCTTAGAAAATAGACAAGAATTGTAAGGGTGGGAGGATTGAAGAAGTCTTTAGTTTAAGATAGATGCTGCTGCCCATCTTAAATCCCTGCTGAGGTTGGGATCCCGGGTATGAACAGATCTTCGTTCTCTCCTGAATGCCCCAAGCTATCTCCAAAGGAACCTTTTGTCAGGGTGTCAGGAACATTCAGTGTGTTACTCTTGTGCTTATCTTTGAATTTTAGCTTGTATCAGGCTAGAGAGATAGCCCTGGAGTTGCCTTGCTATATGATCCCACTCCATCAGTGGGACAGAACAGTTTGGCTTATAGATCTCATAAACATTTTGAATAAGATTGGAAAAGTCCCATCTCTCAGCTTTTGGGGGCTCAGTTCAGCACCATTAGCCAACTTCCTTGTGCTGATTGCAAAATCCTTTCTGAGGAAATAGCAGAGTAAGAAAAAAAAGGGTTTTTTTTTTTTCAAAGATACTTCTGCTATCTGGACAAGTACATGTTTGGTAMCTATGGATTTACAATCTGTTAGTGATCATTCCTTCTTTGTTTGTTCACAGGCAGCTACTCTCTGTCCCTGAGAGACTACGACCCGCAGATTGGTGATGTTATTAAGCACTACAAAATCAGGAGTCTAGACAATGGAGGGTTTTATATCTCTCCAAGAATAACTTTTCCCAACATCAATGATATGATCAAACATTATCAAAGTAMGTTAAATCAATTAGCAAATTACTTAATAGAATGCAGAATGTCATTTCCTTTTTCTTTCCCCCTTTATTTTTCTCTAAATAATTCCAGCATGGATGTTATCGAAGATGAAGTGAAATTGGTTAGAACTAAAGTAACCTTGTTAGCAAGCAGCATTAGGGCTGGTAATGGTCTGTTGTACACCAATGTAAGACAAAGAATAGCTTTATAAAAGGTCTCATCAAAGCATTGTTGATATGAAAGAAGGAAGAAAAATGATTGCACTGTAAGTAAATGAATTCTGCATTTGATAGTAAATTTCTGTTTGTGATAATAGATAATGTTTATTATTTGTGTAATATTGTAACTATTTTCCTGTATTTTATCTGCTGATAGGTGTAGAAGCATTTTTACCTTCCTGTAAAATTATATTTATATTTAGTTATATGTTTGTGACTGGGGTTTTTGAAGAAGTAAAATGCCACTGCCTTCAAAGGAAAGAATGTTATTGTGCTTGCATAGAAGGGTACCAATATTACAAAAAAAGAAGGGGCACAGGGCAGGGAGGAAGAAGTTTCCAGCTACTTCTTAGCTAGAAAAGTGACTTTTATATATATCTTCCTGGTGAACCAGGATATACTTTTTTTTTTTCATCTTGTAACTGGAAATTTGGAGACTGTAAAGTATTTTTTAGTAAGACAGTTCTTTGGTTGCTGCTTTTAAGCCAAAATGAGGGCCTAGTCATGACCTTTCTCTGAACTGTAACATCCATGGTAATTCTTTGGTGCAGCTTGAGAACCTGAGAATTATTTTACATTTGTATTTAAGTTATAGCTGTTCAGTGACTTAAAAATTAATCATGACCTACTTATGCCTGCATGATTGTGTGTGCAGACATGTCTGAAACCAGGCTAAGAAAGAAGTTAATAACAAATTCAGAATATTGGGTCCAAGACTGACCCCAAGTTGCATCTTCATCAACATACTATCAGAAATGAAATCTTTTGTTTTGTTTATTTGGTACTAAWAGTAGTAAAAATAATAATAATCTGATGGTAAAATGAACCTTTTTTAYCTCAGATAGATGCCACATTTCTCTCTTAAATCAGTCTTTGAACTCTGAATACYGAATTTCATGACAGAAGAATTTAATGTGAAAACAACATAAATTTTTCAGGCCTATCAGAGCACCTGCTGGAAAAAAAAAAAAAAAGAGATTTTGAGCTGGTTGCTGTATAATTTCAATTGTGTGTTCTTTGTTTCAAGACATCTGAGGCAGGGAAGTGTAATGGATTTTGTATTTTGTTTTTCCTTTGAAAAACAGAACAAGCAGATGGCTTATGCAGAAAGCTAGAAAAGGCTTGTATTAGTCCTAAGCCTCAAAAGCCATGGGATAAAGATGCATGGGAAATTCCACGGGAATCAATTAAATTAGTGAAGAAACTTGGAGCTGGTCAGTTTGGAGAAGTCTGGATGGGTAAGTTTAGACCTTTGAAAAATGATATGTAAATCTGCTGAAAGTGGTGCTCTTTCAAAATCATTGAGAATAATATTGGGGATCAACCTGGTTCAGTATATTTATAAAAACAGTACAGGCAGACGTCTGACAAAGGCAGGCAGCAAGTTCTTTGGTCTTTTTGAAGCAAAAAGCAATTTATAAGCACTGCAAAAGGGTCAAATATAGCAGATTTTGTTGGTTTGTCCTTTGTGGAGAAAGGAGAGATTTAAACAACTGAGTCCTGGTTCTCAAAATCAGTGAACATCTTGGAATTTCATTTCAAAAAGTGGTGAAGAACTTGAAATAAAAAGAAGCTCTCTCTTTTAGTGATTGGTAGAGATTTGAATTGTCTAAAGAAAAGACTTGGAATATAGTGCATGGGCCTGACATACTGGGTGAAACAAGGAGACCCCTAATCCAAGATCACGGTTTACGAGCTTACTGCCTGGGTAGTAGGAAYTTGCTTACAAAGTAAGAAGATTGCAGATTAACCTGCCGTGAATTATAACGCAGGTCGGTAGTAATGAAAGGGTCTACAAGCAGTAAATTTAAACCCAGACCCTGCCAAAATGCTAGCATTAGTTATTACAGTTGTAAGTAGCCCGCATTTGAAAAAGTCCTATTTTTGTAGCCCTGCGGACTTCCTGTGGCCAGGGCCGCTGGCCGCTGCCCCAGCACGTGTTGGGCAACAGGCATTGACTGCTSCTGCACTCGAGAGGCTGTCTGTGCAGGAGCTGAGCCTTCTTCTGGCTTCCATGTCACACTTTCTCTGTATTATTCATTACCATCTCGTGTGGTTTATTTGAGATAAACCAAGTGTCTTCATTATGACCTTCATTATGACTTTTTTTTTTCAGTTCRGATAGTTTTCTTGACCCCTCTTTGAATCTCTTTCCTGGAGGTTTTGTTCAAGTATCAATAAAATTGTTGTAAAAGTCGATTATTATTTATAATTCTGTAGGTAGGACAATTTTGAGTGGCTCAGTGTATTGCTAGGCTCAGTAGAAGACACAGAGGTAGGAAGGTTGTTCTGATGACCCAGGAAAGTGCAGAAGTCCGATGGGATCACGCTGCTTGGGATCTCACTGTTTGGAAGAGATGCTTTCATAAAGTAAAACACAGGGTGATACTATTTGAGTGGCAAGTCTTAGACATGATTACAATGACAATCAGAAAGCTGTAATGCAATCATAAATAATWTTTTTTTGATATAAATTACACTAAAATGCAAGCAACAATCTCTATAATGTAGCTGAATTTGGCCTTTTGGCTGCCTTCATAAGAAAAGACTGAAGGAAGCCTCTAGCCATGATAGGCATAAGTGACATTTTACATACCAGTCAAGACAAGTGCCAGCCATTGTGCAGCTTTTTCTCTAATAAACCAGGCAAGAACAATTCAGCTGACACTGAAATGCAGTGAGGGCTTCGTGGCAGCATCTTGCTGCTTGTTTGAAAATGTAGCCCATTTTGGGAAGTGACTACTTCTGCACACACACACGCACACATAGAACTTAAAATGGGTGGTTCTGGTTCAAGATGTTTCCTCTTGTTTGTATCTTTTTTCTTTTTTAGCCATCCAGCTTGGGCTTGACCCTTGCTTGTAGCTGAATTGCTACTCGGTGAGAGAAATTACTGTTCTGTGAAACTGCTCACCGTGTTTCCTCTTCTCTTTGCTTTCTTTCTGAAGCCAGAGCAGCTGATTTGCATGGGACAGATCTTTTCTAATCAGAATCATTGTGAATCTTAGAACTAAAGAAGCCGGAGCTGTAAAACAGGTAGCAGGTTCAACTTCACAGGCTCAGCAAACGCCGGTTATTGTCATAATGACTAGTTAGACCAAATAAGCTTSTTGTTACAGTCTCTTGATAATTTACTTCACTTAGAACCAAATTATTAATTTAGACAGTAGTGTGAACTGGATTTGAACTTCATTCCATGGCTAAGTTGCCAAAGAATTTTCAGCTTGGTAAAGGGAACCAAGAGTTGCAGTTTCAGGAGGGACATGGGTGGGAAGATGGAGATAATTCTGTTACTGCAGGGTGAAGATTTGCTCCCGKGTAGAATTTCTGTTTTTAGTTCAACCAGAAGCTTTCCCTGGGCTTGCAAGCTGGGAAGAAGCAGTATTTTGTAAGGTTTTTCACAGAAAGACCTTCACATGCATCCTGGAGATCTGGTTAGAAATCTCATCACTGCTGTCTGTCACAAATTCATAGAACAGGTGGTTGGCCCAATTAAGCCCATCCAAAAATCTGGCTGCAAGGTGGCTGTCCAGGAYATACACCATCAAAATCGTCATCATTAACTCAAAAATAAATAGGGAAACTTTAAGAGGTTTTGGAGGACTGTATTTTAATGCAGGGAGAACACAGCACTCTCTTTAAGAGCTGATCGGATTTCCCAGACTTTCATATCATGGTTTGTATCATCTTTATTTTTTTCTGCTGGCATCATATTTAATTTTTAACAAAAGYCCAAACTGATGAGAAGCCTCCTGTCTCCTGCCATAGTACGGAAGGTTTTCAGACTATTGAGACTGGTGCATTTGGGCAGCTTCTTTACTCGTGTGATGGACCAAAGCAGCACTGGAAGAGCAGGGCCTATGTTTTATGCATTTTTGTTCGTAGCGTGCACTGATACGATGTGAACTGTGATGCTCGGTGGCATTAATAATCCATGAACAGAATTCTCAAGCCAGGGCTAAGAGAAAAGTTAACAACCCAAATGGAGCCATTATGGTGTATTTTATTAATGAGCCACGTTTTGCTTGCCTCTCAGGTGTAAAAGATTCTCTCATTTAGCATAGCCTAAATTAGAATATCTGTAAGTAATACACATTTTCTTACGCAGCTGTTAGAAAAAAAGCAGAGAAAATCATACTATAAATACTGTTATTAAATAAAAAGCACCTAAAATGAACTGTGAATGCTTGTTGTTGCAGCTCATCACTATCATGGAAGCATTTTACTGTGCATACGTGGGCTGGGTATTAGTGGCAAAGAACTTTTTTTTGAGAGAGAGATATTTGAGGTGTAAACAAGAACTTCTGTGCTTATCTGTCCTTTCGAATTCATGTTTGGATGGCAAACTGAGCACGGGTTCATTTGTATCTTATGCCAATGAATAACGTGACACGAATCTTTAGACCGAGATCCAGGTTCACTTAAGTCAAGGGAGAGTCTGGAGCTGCAGCTACTGCCCGACGTGGGGCTGCCGTGCAGGGGCAGGGCAGGGGCTCGTACTCCATGAGCGTTCAGTTTGGGCTTGGTCCTCAGCCTAGATCAATTTAACAGCTGCTTTACTTATCCTGCGTGAGGGAAAGAGGACAAGAATTCCAGTTGTGTCCTGAGAGAGATCAGGGTCTAACATCACAGCCTTCTCATCAACTAACTTGCTCTGTGTGTTACCACCAGAGAGTCAGGAAAAGCCTGTTTTCCTGCAGAAGTCAGGATCAGTGAGTGTTGTTAGTGATACAAACTTTCTGTAATTAGCATTGACACCTGCTGGATCTCTTGAACTGCATGCAAGCATTTTACATTCACTAATGTTAAGTGTATTGGTCACAGTTGTTTTAAAGAAATAACATTATTGAGCATTGAACTAATTGGGAGTGGAATTCCATTCCATACCTGTTCCTGGACATGGGATGGAATAGTAGGAACTCCAAAAATGAGCTTTCTCCTTTTTAARCACAGAGAGAGGTATTTAACACTTGTTTTATATAGGTAGCAACAGATTGTCTGTGCTTTCAGGGGCAGAATTTGACCTGAAGTTTTCATTTCTTCTTACCTTTATTACACTTAATTGACCTTACTGTGCCTGGAAAAAAAACATCAAGTAGCCCAAAAGATGCTTGTTTTGTGACAGAAGTATTGATTTTATGCAGCTGATGACCCTTCTTTAGAAAAGGTGATAGGAGACAAAATAGTTAGAGAAGTTATTTCGGAACTGGAGATTAGTTCCTTGCTTTACCACAGATTTCCTATGTAAAAATGAGCAACAGTGTGTTAAAACAGAATTAGGAAATTGGGGGCTTGCATTTAGAGCTACATATGTTGTGGTAACGCTGCCCAGATTGCTGCTGAGTACGGAAATGCAGCAACTGCTCTGMGTCGTGGAAGCCTTGCCCCTTCCCAGAAAGGTTTCTGCAGTGGGGAAGTGCACACGGGAGGCGCAAAGGGCGCCCCGTGATACCCCCGAAACGTTCTGTAAATCTGCAACGTTTGGAGGGAGCTGCGTTTTTATGGATGTTTCTGACCTTTTACAGTCTGAAGGCTTTCCAGACAAACTTTAGGATCAATGCTTGCTATTTTTAAGATGTTTAATGTTTTGATTAGAAGACAGTTTGTTGCTTTTCTACTTATTGGTAGCTTTTTATAAAATTGAAATATTAYATTAAAGTGTGTAATAAATAGAGAAAGAAATGGCCACTGTATCATCCACCCTTGGCATGGGCTCCATGATAAGAAATTATTATGGTTTAAGTCTTCCCCTGAACACTGCAGGCTTCTTGTCCTGCCAGCACATCTTTGTTGTTATTGAGAATGCTTATCTGATCCCCCTTTATCATAAGGTTCAATTTTGAGTAGAGAGCACTACAGAAATATGACTGATACGCCCTAAGTAACTATAGTCTTGGTATTTAAAGATCTTCCAGAATCTTGCAGGCAATTTCTGGAATCTCTTAGATKAGGAAACTATGCAAACAGTCATTAAAAGCATCTCTTGACTCTATGAATGCTTTCTTATGAGCTCTTCTAAAGTAAAACTTTGTATTAAGTGTTACCTTTTGCTTTTCTAATATAGATTTTTCAGAYGAAGGTTTTAGCAAAGCAGAGAGTGGATTATTGTTCACTGCGTTGATGTGGCTGTTGGCAAAATGCAAGGGGATTCCTGGTGGCTTGTGCTAGATCTGAGTTTAAGAGTTTCATGCTCTTRAAGGTTGGGGAAACGCTGGCCTTACCTGCCCTGTGGCTTCCTGCTAGCCGGGCCGTGTGGGGAGGCCTGCGGGGCCCTGAACCCCCCTGCCTGTTTCAGGTTACTACGTTAATAGCACCAAGGTGGCGGTGAAGACTCTGAAGCCTGGGACAATGTCGGTGCAAGCCTTCCTGGAGGAAGCCAACCTCATGAAAACGCTTCAGCACGACAAGCTCGTTAGGCTCTATGCTGTGGTGACTAAAGAAGAGCCTATTTATATTATCACAGAATTCATGGCCAAAGGTGAGAGCAACGGAAGAACTGTAAGCACTGTTTTGAGTGTTTTTTAGCTTCTTGTGAAATAATCCTTTTTCTCTAAAAAAAGAAAGGAATAAAGAAAAGAGTGTTTCAGATTTTAGCATTATTCTTAGGTATATTTTCATGTCATTGGAAGGAGGACCTATCTGAAGAGGGTGACTTTGAGAGGGTTTAATCTTATGATTCACCATTTCATTTGTTAAATAATTTTTACAGGCTGCTTTAGATGAATAATTTTTGAAATGTTTCAAATGCAGCTATAACCCAGGTTATAGTTCCTTGCAGGTTCCCTACCAAACTTTTGTTTCTGGTGCCATACCAAGACAGTTCCTAATTAAAGCAAATCTTAGAAATGAYGTCATGTAGCCCTTCAGATGATACYCATCTGTCTAGTGAGGCAGTAATGAGTCCTCACGCAAGGACTGTGGCTGTGCTAGAAAAGCACAACATTTTTAGAGCAGTACTACACAAAATAAGTGTGGCTTCCTCCTCATGTTRTTTCGGGCAGTGGTGTTTTTGTTCTGCTAATGAGTTGGTTTATAAACAAACAACAGCAACCTATTCCTTATGACTTGGAAAGGGTTAATATGTGTAATTATTCTAGGCAGTTTTCCTGATTGATTGTCCATAGAATAAGGTAATTATCAAATTTAACACCACTGATCTAAGGCATGGCATGGTGAGGTGACCTGGAAAGCTGCAGAACTTAGACACCCAACGTGCTGACCTGGATACTGCTGTTAGCAGAATAGGTAAAGAACCTGCAGCTCGTTCTAGCCAACTTGAAAATGCCTTCAAACGTTCACTGTTAAAAATATATGATCTAGAAAGTTGTGAGACTGATGTTAACTTTATTTTGGTAATAAGCTGTGCTGACTTGCTCCCTCTCTCGTAACAGGGAGTTTGCTGGATTTTCTGAAGAGTGATGAAGGAAGTAAATTGATGCTTCCAAAGCTGATAGACTTCTCAGCTCAGGTAGGTTTTAAGAATTATGTTCCAAATTAAGGGGTTTTATTTATCTCTTGGGTTGAAATTCATACTGGGCCCTTATCCTAGCATTATCCTAACATTTTTGGCATTAGCAAATAATTTCATTTTCAAAGGTGTTTTATCTGAATAAATAAGGTTAGTGAAAGGAGTAAATAGAAAAAAAAAAGAAAAGATGCTTCRAAGGGAGTATGCAAAGTTGGACCTCCTTCTTAGATATCACCAGCGATGATCTTGGGTGACAGTGGGACAGTCCTTTCCACAGCTTCTTTGTGGAAAGGCTGTTTCGCTCCCAGCAGCTGTGAGGTGAAGGTGTAAGTACAGGCTTCGTGGAGTGTTCTCCGTGAATCACTGCAGCAGTATTGACAAAAGTGTCAGTTTTTCCTTTATAAGGTAGGACGATTCATCAAACCTCTCCGTTAACCTCAACAGAGCACTGTCAGTCTCAGAGTTACTCTGGAATAAATGATGTCTGTCCAGAGGATGTTTCAGGTTGCTGGGATCTGAGGTGTGAACCATACCGATTGCTGCAAAGTATGCCAGTTATCCCGTGTCCTATGCATCAGAGTGATGTGTGTATCAAGGGCTTGCTAGAAAAGGTTGGATCTTAGGCTCATAGGTCACTTTATGTAAGAGTTGTCGGGTTGAGTGACATTGTAAGTCATCACGGGAGACTACAACCCTCTACTCTTCTTCTGACAGTGACGAGCAGAGTAGTCTAGGGAGGCACAGGCAGGGAACAGAGGCTGCAAGTTGTGGTTCATGCTGCTAATAAGTAATGAAGGCATTTTGGATAGGATATTGCTTCACCAGTCTTCTGGACTTGCAGACACTGTTGGAACCTGTTGTAGTAATTTGCTGGTTCATTAGCAAAGACAAGAAAATATRATAACTATTGCTACATAAATATATATAGTTTTATGTTGTTATGTACTATATATTGTTATACAGGTATTCAGTGTAGCTATTGCAATACCTATTACAGATTTAATAGAACTCATGTGCTTTATGAAGGTATTGTTTGAGTTATCAGGTGTATGGAAGTTTAAGTTATTGCCCATGGTAAAATGGTTAACTTGAAGACCTACATTTAGAAAATAGAGACATAGGTTGAAGAGTCAGGACTGATTTTGCTGCAATTGTTTCAGTTTAGCTGAAGGTTTACTAAGTTTCCAGAATTCCAAAACTACTGGCTTTACAGTAGACCTTTTTATTGAAGTTAGGGATGTTTTACTGTTTAAAGCTGAGTATTGTTTTCAGAAATTCACGGCTTGACAAGGTTAAAGAACTAGAGAGGAAAGGTCAAAAAAGAAAACTGATTACAGTTGTGTAAATCATTTCCAAGGTGACAGAGGTCTGTGATCCTCATGAACTTTTCAAGGATTGAGTCACTGGAAAAGGATATGACTGGTCCCCCTGATCTTACAGGCTCTGAGAGCCTGTTCCTGCACTCAGCCTAGAGGCCAGGACTTTATGTGGGGTAGGTAGTGTGAGCAGCCTGTAAGATGTACATCTTACATCCTGTAAGATGTAGTCCAGCTACACAGGGAAGTGTCTGAATGCCATGAATTCAGCTGCAGAGCCATCCTTAAGGGATGTTAAAGAACCCCTCTTTGAGGATTTCTAACCAAAGAAAACTTTGGAACAGAGATACAGATTTTTTTCTTGATGGAAAGATCTTAACAAGTTCTTCAAGCACATTTGCAAAGAGCCCTCAGTATCATTCTGTAGTAGCAGGACTGTATGKAATAGACTTGCAGGCTGCATACGGTTCTGAGACCAGATATTTTGCTCCTTCCTGCACACTGAAGACAACAGTAATCGGAGTGGAAGATGCAACAACAAAGAAATTCCATCATCGTTTCTTTTCTRGGCCTGACTGTTGAATTCATTGTTCAAGATACAATGGTTAAAGATAAGCACATATTTTTAAACTTTGTTGGCCTGCTGCTAAGGTAATGGTAATTTCCCTGCACACCTGTGGATCACACTCTTCAAGAATGTTGGCTACACAAAGGAAGACATAAAATGTGTTTGCATTTTTGGTACATATCTGCTTTTTATAAATGGATGGTGTTTACCCTCGCATCGTTAGTGTTAACCTCCCTGCTTAGCCTAAGGGGAAGGAAGTTTGGCAAGCAGTGTCTCAAAAAAGGTACAAAGAGCCATGGGGAGTAACTCTGCGGTGAACGGCTTAAATGAGATCAGGATCAGGCCTGTGTTTTGGCGTGGTTGACACACACTGTGCTGTGTGCGTGCACAGAGCACCTGCCGAAGGGAACGTTTCTGTGGGGACCCTGCGCTGGCAGAAAATGCATCAGCAGAGGTCTTGCCCTGTGCAAGTAGAGTATGAGCTGGGCCGTTCCACCTCGTAGGGAGCCTTTTTATCTGGAGGAATGGCCTTTGTCACCCTGCAATGGGCTTGTCCGATAAGGAAGGATTGGGAATGGGAGGAGGGGAGGATGTGGTCTGTTTGCTTAACAGAGGGCTGAAGAAAGTCGTAGCCCTTAAACTTGAAGCCTCTGCTGAAACCATTTTCTTAAACTGTGTTAAAAGAGTGCTGTACCTCAGGACAAGTTAATGCTATAATCACTGAATTCATTAAGCCTTTTCCTTGGACAATCGTGAAAGAAATCTTCCCAGTTTACAGGGGAGAAAATGCTCTGATTTTGAAAAAAAAAAAAAAAACAAAAACTTAAAACCCAAAAACCCAAGGACTTTAGATAAAATCAACATCTTAAAAGTTAGTATTCAAGCAAGTAATCAAATATTCCTCTACTATGCTACATTGGCTTTGCTGTTTTGTTAGCTCAGCCTCTGAACTCATTGATTGCCAATTCAGCAGCAATAGCTGAGGGCTTACTTAGTTACACTTGGCAATCCAGAGCCTACTTTAGCAAACAGCTGTGGGCTCCAGGATTTTTCCTCCGTGCTAACATTCACAAATTCCGAAGTTACGCCTGTGTGCAGAACACGCCAAGGAAGTTCTCCCTCAGAAGGTGGTCAAGCTCATTTTTTAAAATAACCTGCCCCCTGAAAGACTTGAAGTTTCTCTTCTGTATTTTAATGGTGTGTGTGAGCAGGGGCGGGAAACCCCAGTGTTAGCTGTGTCCTGGCATGGATAATTGTGGCCTCTAGAGATAACTGCGTGAAGTCTCTGAAATGAGAGCGTTTTAAAGGAAGCAGCGTTTCGCAAACCTGTCTTCAGCAAATACTGCTTGCCACGAGAGAAAACAACTAGGGCAAATCCCATCCAGCTCAGCAGAGTTGAGCAATGCAAATACACACTAGACCAGGAACAGAATCGGGAATCTGAGCAGACCAAAAGCTCCGGTTTCCCTGCGCAGACCGCAATCCGAGGCCATTCCCGTGCGCCGGGCGCGCGTGCGCAGGGCGGCGCGGCAGCTTCCGCGGTGCCGCAGCTCCCGCTTCACCAGCAGGGCCGTTTCCTGGTGCTGAGGCAGCCCAGAGGTTTCACGAGCTGCCGCTTCCCAGCTGCGAGCTCAGACGCTGGGCAAACTTCATCGCTCCGTCCACCGCCTGGCAGCCGAGCCTGGCTGTTCCCTCAGCCCGGTGACTAACAAACTCCGGGGGTTAGTGGGTACATCTTGTCCTGCCCAAGGGCTGGTTTAATTTATCAGAAAAGCTTTGCAGTTCTCAAAATCTTACTTACTTCTGTTTTATGAAATCAGCTAAAAATGCAGGGTGCAAACTCAGTGGAGCCTTGGCAGTAATAAACGCTGCCTGCCTCAGGGACTCATCTTATGCAGAGCCATGCATAGACTGTCTCTCTGTATCTGAAAATTCAGAAAATTATCTGAATAGTGACTGAACATACTCAAGTTCTGCTTTTCAATCTTGTCCAAGCTTTATCACAGAAACTTTTTTTTCACATAAAACGCTGATACGTACTTCAATTTTTCTACAATCTGCAATTTCTTTCTTATCCCCCCCTTATTTCCTTTTAAGACTACATTGCCATTAGAGTAACGATAAAGTCAGTATTAATGCAGATTTTTGATGCAGCTTTAATGCCTCCCAACGGYAGCCTCTTTTTTGAGACAGGCTCTCTTAAGAGACGAGAATTTGTGGAGTCTCCTTCTCTGGAGGTCTTCAAACCCGCCTGGATGCCGCCCTGTGCCCCGTGCTCTGGGTGTCCCTGTTGGAGCAGGGGGTTGGACTAGATGATCTCTAGAGGTCCCTTCCAACCTCAACCACCCTGTGATTCTGTGAGAATCACGGAGTTTAAAGCCGCCTGGACCTTGGGATACGCTGCCTTGTTTCCTGTGCTAACCCTCCTGCGCAGGATGGTCCCTCACACCCTGTCCTCGCGCGCCGGCCCTTAGGCCCTGCCGGTGTATCCACCGCGGCTCCCACAGCGCAGCGGCTCCCCCGGGAGCCGAGCGGAGCGCAGGGGCCCGGGCCGGGGTGGCCTGTGMGGAGCACAGGGCCCCGGGGAGCAGCCGCGGCCTCTCGCAAGGGCAGCAACGCGCGGCGGCTCCTCCTGAGGCTGCCTCCGGGCGCAGGCCGGGGCACCTCCGGGTGCCCTCCCACCTGCAGCTTTAGAGCAGGGCTCTTGGAAAGAGTGAAGAGCCACGGGCATTAACGCAGAAAGAAGTATCTAAAAGGATACCTAAGCTATCTCAAAGTAATCATTTCTGGGTGATTTTTGTTTCACGGCATAGCTGAAATACATCGGTAAAGGACTGGGACGTTCTTACCCAGTGTTCCCCAATATTTCACAAATCAGAGGGCACATCCTCAGTTTTTCACCAGGATGGACTTCATTTATAGCCACATAAAAGCCAGACACAGCTTTGAATACTGACTCATCGACTACATTTATTTTCCCCGTTTTACTTGCCTGCCTGCAGGTTGAACATGTGTGACTTCAGTTTTACGCACAGTTTTCAGGTGTCTCATAAATCACCAAATTCAACAGACTTGTTGGAACCCAGTTCCAGCTCTCACAGGTGGGATATCATTGTAATCTAACCTCACCATTTGCTGGTGTTTCCAACCATAGAAACTTTATCCAAACTGTTCACTTTGGACACTTTATTTACAATTACTATGGTTGCACCTGCTCTTGTAATAATTGTTTATTTGAGGGTGCAGTTCTTCCTGAGGACTTGTTTCCCATGGGGTTCTACATGTCACTTCTCCAGGCTGTTTGAAATTTGCCTGCCTGAAATTCCGGCATGTTTTATTGTCATTCTGTCATTCCATTTCTTTTCCATTTCATGTTGTTTCATGATCCTGCTCACTCAGTTTTCTTTGTCAACATAATAYAATAACAATATATCGTGCTGAGCCTAAACAATCCAGTCTGGTCTCCTCAGTACACCACATTTTTTTTTACATATAGCCTAGAAACATACAAGTGGGTCGTGTTACAGACATTACCATAATTCTCGCTCTCTGTCTTAACGAGCAGCTCTGCAAACTAAGTTGAAAACATGTCTTTTTTGAAATAACTCGCTAAAGAGGGGCACAAAGGAATTTGAAATAAAAGATGTCTTTGTGTATTGAAAAACTAAACAATTGAGGAATCCAGAAGTTCCCTAAGTATGAAAGAAAAAGGGAAAAAAAAAATTTCCCCTTTCTGGAGAAGAGTGGGGGGCGAAAGGCCATGACTGCCTGTCCCTATGTGCTGTCCAGTGCAGCGAGGAGGAGTGACGAAGTCCTTCTCATTTGCAGGAGGTGCAGCCTCCCAGTGAATGYTGAGTGTCCTCTCCTCATGATTTTTAAGAGGACTTTTAAGTCCTCTTTTACTTTTACCACGTTCTCCAAAGAACTTCATAAAGTACAAGGAACTTGTCATAAAGTATGAGATACTCGTTCCAGCAACATTGCTTAGTCTGTGTTTTTGCCCCTGTTTTCTTTCTCTTTTTTTTTTCAGAGCTCTATATTCATCTTGAGGTGACACGTAAGTGTTCTGGAAAGTTGACCGTTTGCTCGCCCTGTTTTACAGATGGGAAGAACTGAAACGGAAAGAGCACCGCCAGCTGAAAATCACACAGCAAATCAGCTGCAGAACTGAAGGCAGGACTCAGCTCTGACCGATTTGCTGTGTGATTTTTAGGTGAACCTTTGCACTGTGGAGGTGTCTTATAGAGATACAACTTGTGTCTTATTTCTTCCAAGAGTTACTTGTGTACATAGGTCTAGGATGTAGAAATGGGGTGTTTGTTTGTTTTAAAACAAATTAACATAGGTAGTTTTAGAAGCACGTCCAATAGTTCATTGAAGGGGAAGGGGAAACTGGTCTCATTTTGATAGTACCAGCTGTGCAGTGTGGGCAGAAAATAAATCACAATCCCCCAGAATCTTCCTACCCTTCTCCTGACTGGTAGTCACATAAAGCTGAAAAGTCTGGATTGGTTCAAATAATCATTAGAGCAGGGGGAAAGGGTGCTTTCATATTTTACTTTTGTTCACCCAAGCACCAAATTATTTTTATTCATTGAACATTTTGACATCGACCATTTGTCGCTGTTTGTCAGTAATTACCTTGAGCAGTAAACATATGAATTCTGACAGTTTCCTTGATTTTTTTTTTTTTTTTTTTTGTCGAAAGTGAAGACTTAACAGGAGTGTTTGAGCTGAGTTGCTCCATTCCTGTGTTTTCCCCTCCTTCTCCCACAGAGAATCGCTCTGTTACTATTCTTTTCCTGCCTGGGAATCATTTGGGTGCCCAGGTGCTTGTACATACCTGGCATCTTTGGTTTGCTGCACAGTTCAGCACGGTCCAAACCCTTGTCCTGGGATTTTATGGAAGTGTAGCTTGCATTTGCTGAAAACATAATGTCTTAAATTGTGACTAATCGCAGTGACTTCCATGGGTCAGGCACAAATGGGAGGAAATAAAACTTGGTGTCTCCAACAGCTTTTGCTGTTAGGGCATAGAAACTACAAAGCACCATCAGAGACTTCTCTTTCATCAAGTGGTTCCTCATTCACTGGTCTGCAGCTGGGCCACGTGTTAAGCGTGTGCAGGGAAGCAGGAGGGAAGCTGGTTCCTTCATAGCTCTTCATGTATTTTCAATGACATTGATGAACTTGTTTGCCTCTCAGCTGTACTTGCCAAGCCAGACAGCGCAATTACAGCTTGGGTTGTTGAGCAAAATCTTCACTTTCTCATCTCTTGCCTCCTTAAACCCAAGAAATCACTGTGGGGAGGGAGGGAGGCATCTCCTCTTCATCACAGCATTTCCTTCGGTGTAGTATGAGATCCTCTCTGTTAAATAACTGAAATGTGAAGCTCTGGGCTGGAGAAGTGGCAATGTATTGGTTGAAGAAAAGAGGCTGTTGTGGGGGGAAAGAGGTTATATTTTTCCATTGCCTAAAATGAAGAAGAGGAACAAAGACCATGTGGTTTTGGTGGTGTAAGAGATAGTGCGTGTAGTTGTCATAGCCCTTGGGGACTTTTTTAAAATGGATAAGCAAAGTAGGGCTAATGTTTTCTTAAAGTTCAGTTAGGTGCTCCCATCTGCTTAAAGCAGAGCTGAAACGTGGAACTTGGTCACTGAGAAGGTTTCCCTCCATCTGTCCTGGTGAGGAAGCAGCTGCTCTATGGGCAGGCTAGGGGCTGCCGCTGGAAAAGGACCCTTAAGGTCCTGCTACGTTACCATTAACATCCCTGGGAGATTAGTGCCTTGGCCACACACCACGGAGGACATCCAGAAATCTGTCACCCACAGAGCCTAGGTTCTGGAGCCTGGAGCCCCGGTTAGACTTGCTCAGGAATGACCAGTCTGCAGGATCGCGCAAGGCGGAGAGGAACTGTCTATAACCACTCGCTTTGATTTTTTCCTATCTCCCATCAAACTTCTGGCCAGAACACTAGGTACTCAGGAGTTTTGTCTCTCTGAGGTTAGATCCTATTGTTTCATTTTCATTTTCAGAGAAAAGAAGTTAATTAAAAAGCGTAGTCTGGAAAAATACTGAAGAAAACATTAGTGCATATTGTGAGGACGTACTTACATTGAATTTGGTTTGGAAACTCAGTTTGGCTGCTCAAACAGAAATTAAATTTACTTGTGATAGTACCTGAATGCAGGCTCTTGCCAAATGCTCTTCACTTATGAACACATGCGTGTTGTTGTAGAGGAAAACAAACATGGAGTTACTGGACCTAGCTCAGGAACTGCTTCCTGATTGCCCAGGCTTAGCGTAGGTGAGAAGAAAGCTTTGTTCCTTGCGAGGGGGTTGCTTTTAATTTTTATCTCTTCTCTGTCCACACCGTTGCTTAATCGGTCCTTTGAGGGACATTTCTACCTTCCATTTCCTTATTATTTGGACAAAAAACCTGTTGTTAATTTGGGGAAGGCAAATTCATAGGAGAATGAGGCTTTGCAGCTACACTGGGCAGACGGAGCGGTCGGCACCGCTGGTGTCAYTGTGTGGTACTGAAACACCAAAAGCAGCATTTCTTGTGTTGCAGATTGCGGAAGGGATGGCCTACATCGAGAGAAAGAATTACATCCACCGGGATCTGAGAGCAGCGAACGTCCTCGTCTCAGATTTGCTCATGTGCAAAATAGCCGATTTTGGGCTAGCCAGAGTCATCGAAGACAACGAATACACAGCAAGGGAAGGTCTGTGCTTTTACTTTTTGTCTCTCCAGCCTCAGGCTCTGGGAGGGCAGGGAGGCTCTGTCTAAAAATTATTTGGACACCAGAAGGTGCCATCATRACTTTGTAAAGGCAGCACTTTAATGCCAACATCCTTTTAAAAGCCCAAGCAAACAAATGAGCTTCTGGGCACACATTGTGTTAGGGTCCCTGCCTGGAGCTCCTTGGAGCTGCTGTCGTGGCTGCCTCTCCTCATTTCACTTTAAAGGCACCTAATATTTTCACATGGTCTGGATGGAAACTGGGGTAATGATGTGGGGTAATAGTAGAAAAAAGGAGGAGGAGGAGGGAGAACAATGCGCCACAGCTGAGACTGAAGGCAGGTGAGCTGTTCAGAAGCCGCTAGGTGATAGAAATTCAAGAGGAGGGTAGGGRGAAGGCCCTAACTAAGCAGGTTTCACAAGCAAAGAACCCAGACCCGTGGCTTTTACCCAGCTCTGAGTGTTGTGTATTGGTTAAATCAACCTTTCACAGGGTATATTCTTCACACTGAGTTGGACTAAGGTGCCTGTCTTTGCGTTTAGGTGTTCAGTGAAGTTTCCTAACGTAGCCGGTGCTTTGTGCCCACCTGCCACAGGAGGCCAAAAACAGGAACCTGTCTGTGTTACTCTCGTGGCTGCAGAGGCAGGTTCCCTGAGGAGGCCTCTTCAAACTTGTCTTGCATAACTAGAGGGCGTTCGTATTTACGGGGGATTTTCTGGGCTCAGTTACATGGAAAGGTGGTGTTTTGAGATACAGCTGACAACTCCTTTGGTATCTGAGACTTCTCAGATATCAGAATCCGATACAAGTATTAAAGTATACGTTGAAGCTAGACTGATTTTTTGTTAACCAACTTTTCTCATTGTGAAGAAAACCCGCAGAGACGCAGCCGCTGGGGCACGCTGTATGTTCCCTGACCATTRGGCAGAAGGGAAAATAGCTGGTTGGCATAATTTGGGCAAAAATTCACAATACCCCAGAGCCAGAAGATCCATTGCAACTTTCAGTGCTTTATTTGCAGCTTTGGCACCAGGCTTGCAGCCTGGTAACATATATCTTGCAGCACATTTATTTTGGTAACTCTTGGGCCAGAGGAATTGCTGATACCTTTGCTCACCTGGGGATACCATGGATAAGTCACTTAAGACCTTCTAATGGCTTCATATAGTGCTTAAACCTGCCTTTGACTGATCGAGACCATATGGTTTCCTAGGGGCAAAATTTCCCATTAAGTGGACAGCACCAGAGGCAATTAACTATGGATCCTTCACTATCAAATCTGATGTGTGGTCCTTCGGGATTCTCCTGTATGAAATCGTTACATATGGAAAGATTCCCTATCCAGGTAAGGGTGTGTGTTCTTAGTACATTGTGCTTATACTTCGATGCTCTCTTAAAATAAATAAATAAATAAATAMATACCCAGGGAAAGAGCTGGCACCCCATGATTTGAGGTGCGTCTGGGAGGGCACATTGGTGCTTCGGGAGCTCGGAGCCACCGTGTGCACAAGGCCCGTGCTGCTTTGTGGCAGTTTTCAGCGAACAGACAAATATGTTTCCGTAGTCCGGGGAAGTGACGGTAGCAGCAGATACTGAATTCCAGGAGTCGCAGTCCCTGATTTTCGCAGCACTGGTGGTGAGCAGCGAGGTGACCCGGGGCGCCCAGCGCTACGTGTGAGGGCTGCTGGGGAAGGTGGTTGTGGTCAAATAGGAGAATATGCAAAATTTTAAGTGAAAATGCTAAAAAGGTCTGCTTTCACCGCAAATAGGCTGCTACAGCGCTAAACAACTACGAAAGCAGAGCCTGAAGCAGTGTGGACGTGTTGCTGGAAACACTTACTGATGGTGATCAGGATGGCCCGGATAGGGAACAGTGGAGTGTATGAGTAACGGGCAGTGTGAAATGGTCATGTGCTTTGTGTTTCTCTTTAAAAAGTCTTTGTACAAAGTRTATGTTAATGTTTTCAGCATACAGGAACAGCTTGTGTAGAGGATAGCTCTGTGTGCATGAAGATGCCTCACATCGCAGGCAGGACTGATGGGGTCTGGCAAGCAAATGGCCTTCTTTTAAGCTTTTAGGACTATGGAAAGTTAGCTGAAATTCTCCTGTGTTGTGGGCAGATGGGGAAGGCGGATCCACATTCCCCTGCACGGCTCGTCTCTCTTTCACAAGTGCAGTAACGTCCGAGAAGAAGCTGTAGGACACGGGCAGCAAAGGAATCTSTCTTTCAGGCAAAGGTTGTCCCAGTGCTTGGGGTGCAGCAGCTCTTGCTGTTTAAACAGTGAAAGCTCCTTCACCAGCACTTCCAGCGCGGCTGGAATTCTGCATCCCAAAATGCCAGGGACTCCAGGGGGCAGGTGACTGCTCGGACTGGTGTGGGAAAACCTCCTCCAGGGGAGGTTTGAGCAAGCATTTCTTAAACATGGAAGAATTTTTATGGGCCTCATAGATAGGCCGTGCACTTGAGGATTCATCCATCAGGGGAGAAGCTGCAGCCTGGGAGATGTGACTGGCGTGCAGACTTTGCTTGGGCAGCACTGGAGGAGACGTTCACTTGGAAGGAGAGCAGGAGGTTCAGCAGCCTGTGGGGCTGAGGATCCCGGAAGGTCCTCAGGAACCTTCTCAAGAACCACAGGAGAGCAAAACAAATGGGCAACGAGTTTACTTCACATAGAGACGTGGGAGGTTTTGCAAGAGTGGCCTGGCGCCGGCCCGGAACCAGCAGCCACTGTGGCAGCAATCAGAGCCTGGAAAGCTGCAGAACGGTGTTGTCAGTTGTTAAGTAGAAAGGCTTCAGTTTAGAACTAGATATGAGATGGTTTGAGGCAAGATGACAGGCAGCTAGTGCCACTGCGAAGGACCCGGAGCAGCAGCTCGGCAGGAAGCGTTTCCAGGYGGGAAGCTGGTGCCGGGGGCTCTGTTCGTGGATCCCACCCGCTCTTTTCCTTCCTGAGAAGCTCAGTGCAGTTAGCAGGGCTGGACCTTCAGGAACTCCTCCTGAAACCAGAAACAACCTGATTTTGCAGGCGAGTTGCATTGGCTGCCAGAAGCAATTCCCAGCTGATTACAGAGCATGTAAAATATTTGAAGCATCCAGGTTTGCATTCCTGCTGTTCCAGGTGGCCTTTACCAGATACACCCCTTTCCAGAGAGATTCCTTTCCTGTAGCGCTGGCTTCCCAGCTCTTCCCTGGCTCTCCCCCAAGGAGAGCTCTTCGCCYGGGATGTTTACCAGGGAATGCAGCACTCGTCAGAGCCGGGTTCTGCAGCGCCAGGATTAGTTTCCTTGCAAGAGCAGGAGCAGGTGTTAGAACAAGGAATACCCAAGGAGTTTACCAAGCAGGAGGGGGCTTGACGAAACAGTTAACTTTCCAGCCCTTAAAAAAACATACATAGTTTTGGGAAAGTTAGTAGCTATTTTGAGTAGGTATTTTTGTGCCTAGACACAGCAGGACTTCCCCCCGCCTTCTCTGGAGGTGGAACCTGGGCAGCACAAAGCACGTGCCCAGCATGGGCACTCCGCCCCAGCACCACGTTCCAGGGCTCACGTTTCTAGAACAAGTTAAAGCCGAAAGGCTTGAGCTGAAGTAACTCTGCCCTTTGCAAGAGTCAGGAACCAGSGTTTGGGTCAGTCCTATTGTTAAGTTCCTGCAAATGATTTAATATTAACCCTCCTCTACACAAATAGAGTTTAGAAATAGCCTCTCCCTTCAGGATGAAGTGACAGGAGATCCRCTGTGTTCTGCTGCGTTGGTGCCTGTCTCTCCAGGGAAGAGCATTGCCTTGCTCGTGCAGTTTGTAAAACTTCCATGTGGACTGAAAACACCAAGTGTGGAGTCAGATAAGCAAAGCAGAAACCAAGGTCTGCAGAACTCAGCCGTGCAAGTCGTGTAGGAGGGTGTGGAGGTGGCATCAGTGAGCGGCGGTGCCAGCGGCCTGCGCGGGGCCGGGGTCCCACACGGCCCTGGCCGCAGCCCAGGGCTCATCCGCAGGGCAAGACTCCTCACAGGCAGCCCGGCTTGGTCCTGGCKCAGCAAGAAGGGAAAGGGAAGGAAGGGGGAGGAAATTGCCAGGGGCAGAGCAGGAGGTGCCCGCGACGCTCAGCCTCTTGCAGCAGCAGCAGTTTTGCAAAAGCCTGAGGAGAGGAACCCGTCAGGGCCGGGGTTAATGCGCAGGGCGAGCGAGCAGCCTTGCCGAGGCAGGAGACTCCGTGAGGGCACGGGAGCGATGAGGGAGAAACCCAGCAGATGGTAGAGCAGCTTCTTGAGGAGCTGGAGATCCAAACCATCTTCCCCCTTTCCTTCCCGTTTCAGGGATGAGCAATTCCGACGTGATGGTGGCGCTTCAGCGCGGGTACCGAATGCCCCGTATGGAGACGTGCCCGGCCGAGCTGTACGACATCATGAAGACCTGCTGGAAGGACAAGGCGGAGGAGAGGCCGACCTTCGACTACCTGCAGAGCGTCCTCGACGACTTCTACACGGCCACGGAGGGGCAGTACCAGCAGCAGCCGTAGAGCAACGGGCGCTCGAGGCGCCGCTCGCCCGGCCCCGTGGCGCAGAGCGAGCCCTGCGCAGCTCCCTGGCCCTGCTCGGGGCAGCTCGGGCGCCCAGACCCCGTGCGGAAGCTGCAACGCTCAACGAAAGAGTAACTCTGCAGAGAAATAATCCCCGATCCCTTTGGTGCCTCTAAAGGCTGAAGTTCTCCTTAAATGCCCTGCATTTTGGACATGTGGAAATATCCCAACCCCAGGATTGTTTTGGGGTGGGCTGGGAGGAGGAGGGTAGAGGTTGACAAAGTATCTTCAGCTCCAACTGAAGGAATACGTTCCAAGGAGACCTCTATGAAAGGATGAGGAGATGCACGAACAGCTACTTTCAAAAGAAAACATTGCGGAAATTATTTTTCTATCCTTGCTATTTCACGTTAGTACATGGATGCAGCCACCTCTGCCGGGACTTTCCAGAAGGTGAAACCCCCACCCGGCCGCTCTGGAGCCCCCCCCCGAGCCAGAGGCAGCGCAGGAGGCACCAGCACCGGKTCCTGGGCAGGCAGTTTCAGCTTAGTTCTTTTAAACAATCATGATTATTTCCAAATATTCCTTGTGGTTTTTTTTGCTGCTTTAATCAACTAACTACAGTCCTTTTTAAAGCCCAGACCAGCTCGAGCTCAAYGAAGGGCAGTTTGCAAGAACGCATCGAGTTACAGCGCAGCAACACTAGAGGCTTCCCGTGTAAACCTGCAACTCCAAAGAAAACGTTGAAGCCTTTGGCGAAGCTCCACCTGCCTGAGATTGCTCCGGCTTCTCCGAAAGCCGAGCTCCTGCAAGCGCAGCGCAGCTGTGGGGCAGCACCTGCTCTGACRGGACAGGTTCTTGCATTAAAGCCCGGCACTCTCCCCCCTTCCTTAGGCAAATGGTACTTGGCAAAAGCTTGAAGGCCTCAGGCTGAAGCTGCTGCAGGGCCGCCCTCAGCCGCCACGCAGTGAAGCAGCCTCTCACTCATGTAAATATGTTTCTATGGATGGCGATTTTTAACGTTAATAAACACTCCAACATTAAGCCTGTTGTACAACAATAGCTTAGGTCACTCATGGCTGCTGCTCTCGCTGGAGGGGTAGGTTGGCACTGAACACAGGATATCTGAGTGTTGCCACTAACACAGTTGTTGCTGTTATGAATGAACAGGGGTTCTGCTTTCCCTGCATGCACTCGGTTTGGAGAAGTGGGAAAGGCCTGAGGCAGCTCTTTCTGYATCCTTCCTGGAGGGTTATTGTGTTGCTGAGAGGGCAGGAAGGGAGGAGGACTCTGTCCTCAGCTGCCCTTCAAAAGGGCCTCACGCCCTTGCTCAGTGTCACCAGCCCTGCAGCCCTTGGGAGGCAGGGAGAGCTGCTCAGCATCTCCCCCCGGGCTCCCTTTCAGTTTAAGGAAAGGCACCTCGACACCAACCTTGTCTTTGCCCTTGCTGGTGCTGACACCAGAGCACAGAGAAGGAGAGGGCAGGTGCTCAGGGAGCAAGGCTGTGTTTWGTGTTGCCTGAAGGGGACACAGTCCCTCAGCGCAGGGACCTGGAGGGTGGCACAAGCAGCCCCAAGCCTGTGCTGAGCAACTGCTTTAGCCCTTCCTGGAGCAAGTGGTGTTTGAGAACCAAGGCAGGAGATCAGCACCTTGTATCACTGCAGCAAAAGTGTTTGCAAGAGCTGGAGCACTCCCTGTGAGAGGAAGAATATTTCAGGAATTTAGTGCTGGGGATTAAAAGGCTTTTAAAGCCAGAGACAGCTCAGATGTGCAGCCAGGCCGGCTCCAGGATGCAGAGCAACCCTATGAAGCCCCTTGTCAGAGGAAGGGCAGCTCAAGCATAGAGCAGGGCTGGAGGGGGTCCCGTGCAGCCCCCAGTCCTCACCCACCTCCCTCCTCCTCCTCTTCCTCTCTCCTCCAGCCTTGCTCTTAACACAGCCACTTCAGTTCAAGCAATAAGCAGGGCCACAACTCTTCAGGCTAGAGCTCAACCATCACTCGCTGTGGGAGGTGTTTGCCTCTAACTTGCAGATCTTAGCTGACTTTCTAGTGCTTTTTCTCGTCTTCATCAAATAAAGAGGACATAATCTACTGACAGGAAGTTTTATTATAACTAGGTCTTTAAAAATTCAAGCACATTTTCAGTGAGGCTTCAAGCAATATTAAAACAAGTTCTGTACAAAGTTGGCTGAAAAAAATAGCACCGAGCTCCAGGACATGGCTTCACATGGCCTCCTTCTGACACCCTTTAAGAACTGCCTCAGTTTGACCCCAAGAGGGCAGTTTTCAGGTCAAAGTCTGACTGTGATTAAAGAAACAACGTATTTGTAGTGCCTGAGGTAAAGCTTCCAAGCTACCTGATTCTAGGAACCTCCAACAGAGATGACTATTTAATATAAAAAGATGAAGAGCAGCAGCAGAGGAACATCGCTTTTCACCTAAGTCATAATTTCTCACTGCAGAAATCCATGATAGCAGTTACTGAAGACTAAAATCCCACCCCATGTTAAATTAAAAAMCAGAGCTTGGGTCAAGTCACACACGGCTCTGGCTAGGGCTCCGCACCCAGGGCAATTCCAAGGGTTCCTGAGTGGGGCCATGCGTCACTCCCTGGCCTTGGGAGGCAGCGGCCTCCTCGCAGGGGCCAAGTCCTCCCGCCTGCCCCAGCCCTTGCCCAGGGGCGCCGCAGCCGAGGCCGCTACCGTGGATTTGAGGTTGGCCAACAAGCCTCTCCTGGGCTTCTGCTGCTTGGCATCTTCCGGGCACAGGCRCCTTCCGCGCTCCTCGAGTTCCCTCTGCAGGGAGGAGACCGTTTCCTCGAGCTCCAAAGCACGGTGAGCCCAGGTCTGCAGGTCGCTCATTTCTTGCTCCTGCGAGACAAGACTGCGTGAGGGAGGCAGCTCTAGCCRGTCCTTCCACAGACAGTTCCCACTCCTCAGTGCCTCCAAGTGCTTATTAGACTTTTTGTTTACTTAGACCAGCGCAAACTGAGGGGACATGAGCTCTAGTTAGAGGCAAAGGCYAGTGGGAACAGCTGCCACTAACACTTGCCATCCCATGCAAAGAACTTCAGTTACTTTAGGAACCAAGTAAAAGCAGCAGTCTGCCTTAAGCTGCTAGCTAATTACTGAAAGCAAAAATCYGTCAAACACTGTATCACAGCTGTAATCCTACTAGCAAGGACTGAATAGATTTTTCAAATGGGCAGAATATTAGAGAGATTCTATAAACAAAATTTTACTTTTTCTGTGATTTAAAGACTTTAATTTTTAATTGGTTCCAAGACTCAGGAATGAATGATCTGCAGCCTCCGACCTGACCTAAAACAGGCAGAAAGCAACCGAATACTCAAAGCAAGTTGCAGCCTAGAGCTGCCTTGCTTCACAGGCAGGTTACCTGGGGCCAGCAGCTCACAGCTCCCCTTCCCACGACAGGGGCTCAGCTGCTGCGCAGGGCCGGGCACCAAGGCCTGTGAGCAGCCGCCCTCCGGCGGGAGGAGCCCCCACACTCCAGGACCCATTCCTGGAGCTCCAGCTGCCTCGGGTGCAGAGCTGCCTCCTGCACTGGAGCGGCTCCGAGGGCCCCACCGGGCACCTCAGGGACATTTCTACCAGAGCTCGGGATTGTATTTTCTGTGCGTCGCTAAGTTGCAGCACCTTTTGCAAGAGCTGACAACACAAAGTTGTTTAATTCACCGAGTCTTAAATCCTTAAATCCAAAGGAGCTTGTCTCGAAAGTCAGGGAGTAAAACACAAGGTTTGTGAAATCTGACTTAGTTTAAGGAATTAGGTATGGAAAAAGCAAGTATGAGGACAAGTGAAAACCCTATGCTCATTTACAGCTGTCAATGAGGTTGAGCAGTGCTTTTACATATAAAAGGTCATATCAGACCATAAATATAAACCACACTAAAGTCTCCTTTAAAGAGCTGACCAACCTTAAGCATGACTGTGTGCTTCAGTCTGCTGTTCTCCTCTGCCATCTTCCTGTAGCCTTCATTAGCTTCCAGCAGGGTTTCATTTAGTTTCTGTATTTTCAACTTCAGAGACTTTATAAGCTGAAAATAACCCCCCCCAACACATTGAAGTTCAAGACAGGATGTTTCACATGAATTTTGTTTAGAATCAAAACTCATGCAGAYACTATAAGCACTTAGAAGTGGTTAATACTCAATGAAACAAATGGAGACCAAAGCAGCTGAGGGGAAGTCTGCTGCTTTCAAGCCCCTGTGCCCTGACCCATCATTTCTAGTCAGAAATAACATGGTACATTTGAGGGCCACTGTGCTGAAGCTCATGCTCTGCACAGTGGGGAAGCCGAGCTCGCTCTCAGGCATCCAAACTTGAAATTGCCACGAGAACTGGAAGTTGTCATAGAGCTCTGGGTAACAGAAGCAGAAAACAAATGCCAGGGCCATAAAATGTGACATTACACTCAGTAAAGAAGACTGTATTTGTGGAATACACCTTTTCAACAGAAGAGGATTTGAGCTTCCTTTCCATTTACATGGATAATGGTTTATTAGAAGCAGCTGGAGCAGCTGGAAATGCTTCTACACTCCTGCTTTGTACTAGAAGGGACTCTGGGCATGACAGAGCCTGGCCCAAGTCTCTTACCTCCTCCCCATCCTCTTTAAACATGGAAAACTGCACCCCAACATTAAGGTTGTTCAAGGTGTAGAAAAAAATGCATAACTGGTAGTGATTAATATTGTTTCCTATAGCCTTCTGAAGTCTGATTTCCACACCTCTATGTGCTATGCAGACCAAAGACCTTTTCTTTCCAAGGAAGGAGAAATTAGGAAATTTCTCCTTAGGGAACTAGATTTTAAGAGGGGGAGGGGGACATGGAGGTCAGCTCCAACAGCAAGGACACATTTAAGGCAGTGTTTTGGATTTAGATCCAAGCTGTTACCAGATTCCTGAGCTGTCATCCTGTTCCCCTGTGCCTAGGCAGGCAGCACATCAGGGAGGAAGGCGCCAAGGCTGTAACAGCAGCAACGTTCCCATGAGCTGCTGGATCTTCCCTTTCCCCAGCATCTATATATTCTCCGTGCAACCAACTACAGCAGCACCTGCCTTTCCAAACTAGAGCAAAGGCAGAGCACAGCCAAACTCRTGACAAGAGGCTGCAGCTGGGCAGGGGCTCTTTCATAAACTTGTTGCCTTTGCAGGGGTGTTGATGTTCATGTCTAAAGGTCAGATCAAGCAGTGGCCATTTAAGAGGTCAGGACCACCACAGCCCCAGACTGATGCCCAGCAAAGTTACCTCTTCTTTCTCGTCACATTGCTTCTGCAGTCCTTCATGGGCCCTCTTCATCTTCCTGCTCATAAGATCTACAGGAAAAAAAAATCATCTTGTTTATATGCAGCAGCCAATGTGAATGAGGTATGAACATTGGGAGCAGATTCCTACCCAATTCCATGGGACTTGGTGTAGTCGGTGTGTCCGAACTTGGACTTTCCAGAGCCAACAGTCTCCCT